AGAGGGTTTCAACTATCCTGAAATCATGAGAGGCTCACGAAGACGTTTTCCAGGAGAGAATTGAATTTGGAAGGGGGGGGGGCTGTATTGAAAAATCAATTCCAAGGGGGGGGGTTGAATTGAATGATCAATTATTAGACCCGGACTCGCCGACACTTGCTTCGCAAGTCAAACTCAAGGTATCCCCTAAAGGGCTACCTTTCGTGAATAGGATGGATCCATTGAATCCTTTTCTTTAGGAGATTCGACCTTTCTAGATCCTTCAGTTCCCTATAAAGGATCCCCGAACGACCTGAAGGACCACAGGCTGGTCGCATCACTTGGTGCTGAAGATGCGGATGCACAGCACTCGGCTTCCGGGCGCGTGGGAGAGCTGTTTTCCTGAGGGCCGACCCGAGAGAAGCGCCAGAAGGTGGCGGTTTATACGGAGCGCGGAAGAGGAAGCCGAACAGCTTTCAACTGTTGTTCTTGTCTTTCAGCGCCGCAACCGGCGAGACAGACAGTCTAGCACAAGCACCATCCGATGTGGTCTCCGGTTCCCCACCTGTCGGACCATCGACTCCCCGAGTCGAGTCGGCTGTGACCCTCCGACTGCCACGCCACGCAGCGTGCCACAGTGCCAGTGTCCCTTTAAAAGAAGCGTCTGCCAGTGTCCAGCTGCGACTTCAACTCGAAGGTCTCCGACATCAAGGCATCCTCCGTCGGTGTGTCGCCGCGTCGCTCAGTCGCTACGCGTGGGGTCGGGAGGGAGCGACTCTCCGGCCCTTGGGCGCCCAAAGAAATCAAACCACGCCCGGGGGCGCCAAAGAAAAGAAGCAAGAGCTCCTCCGAGAAATTCCGAACACCAGGTATTACCTCTCAATCAATTCTTTTATATATTTTTTTTTTAAAATGGACATGTGTGTTTCTGCGTCTTCTCGTTCGCACAGTGACGTGTCGACAAATTGGACTTTCTGCCCATCCGGAGTGGAGTCTGTCTCGGAACGGCGTGACGAGCTGAGCTTCGTCATGCCATCTGCTTGTAGGAGGTTCCCCCGCGACCAACCAGACCGACTTCCCTTGCTCAATCCGGTGGGATGTCCACGGAAGGAAGGTCTAATTGTTCTTCCAAACAGGATTCGAAGGCGCCCCCGCAACCACCCCCACGCCAAGCAGGTGGCGGCTCTGTCCCCTCCCACCAAGGCCCCCCGACCCACTCGCTTTGCAGTAAGGTCCTCAGTGCTGGGCTGGGCTGGGCCGCGAGAACTCAGCAAATCATTTGACCGTTTGCCTCCAGGGGTGTTAAGAAATCAAATTCCAGAGGTATGAAGAACTGTCCTACTTCCAAAAGAAGTATCCCGCCCAATCAGTGTCCTGACTGTTTGCTTGTGAATTGATGGTGGTGGTTAGTGGTTGGAGTGTCTCTGAGACAGGCCAGCTCGGTTTCTCTTGCGAAAAGGATCCAACAGACGCCGCTTTCAATGGATCGCTGTTTCCGAAAAGGGCATCTCTCAGGGGTTTTTTAACCCTGGTTCCCTTGGCACCTTGGCACCGAAATCGGGAAAAAGCCCCCCACCAACCACGGAAACAGGTCGACCAGCCCAAACGGACGGACCGGGCCCAGGCGACCCCGACAGCATGCCCGGAATGGAGGCCGCCGTGGCCGGGCGCGGGCGGATGGCGGTGTTCCCCTTGATGCTCACCAAATCATCCTCCCGGAGCTGGCAGAGTCCCCAGCAGAGTGCCCAGCAGAGTGCCCAGCAGAGTGCCCCCGATGCCACTGATCAAACGGAAAAGCAACACCTTGGAGTCGATGAAACCTTGGAGCTGCTCCGAAAGAATGTGATACCATGTCTGAAGAAACGTGCCAGTTCTGAGACCCCCGTGGTGTGTCCATGGACCCACGAGAGAGGGAGGAAACTCCAGGACCTGCGCACGCCACGCCCTCCAAAAACCACTCCAGTCATCTTGTCCAGCACCGGTTTGTCTTTGAAATCTCTTCTTTGGCCTTGACAAACACAAAACCCGAATGGTTCTAAGGGTCTGTCCGCTTTCTCTTGGGGGTGCCACACCCACATCATGTGTGGCTTGGTGCTTTAGGTTGTGTATCCCCCTTCTTCCCTGTCCTTGGTAAGCTCTTCCTTAGTCACTGGGCACTTCCCTGTCGTCTCGATCTGCTTCTCAATCAGCCTTCACAAAAGCAGACAAATTGACACAAAACCCAAGAGGAGGCAAACCTATGCAGAACCCCCCATTGGCTCATGTGGTTTGCGGATGCATGCGATCCAATTCTTAACAACATACATACTGCTTGCACAAAAAGAATCAAAAAGAGATCTTGCTTAGAGCTTCTGGCAGACCCCCCCCTCAAACATGCCACACATGTCCCTTTCCCTAGATTCGATCGCAGCTCTCGTTGCGAGAAGCAACTCAGATGTGAATCTTGAGCTTGACACCAAACATAAGAAAAAATGAAAACATACCCCGTTGATCTTCATGAGATTTTGCCAGTTCTTAGGTCCTCTGTCTTTTCAATCCAAACACATATAGATTCAGCAACAGACAACCCCAAGCAAACCCTCTGGTTTGAGAAATTCCACATCTCTTTAGCATTCGGTCACTGGCAACCCTTTTTCTCACTCCCTCTCCCAACATATGGGCTACTCTCTCACCCCCACACTTCACTCTACCATTCTCCCCACTCCGCTACTCAAGATAAAGAAATAAAATGACATCTCTCTCTCGCCCTCCAGTCATCTCTCTCTCTCTCTCTCCCTCTCTCTCTCCCTCTCTCTCCGACCTCACGGAGAGAGAACCGATGAGCCACCGGTTCTAAACCCTCGGTGAACCGACCGCGCCGCACCCCCCCCCCCCCACTCTCTCCGCGCCCCTTCTCGTAGACGTGCTTCGTCTTCGGCGAGAAGACCGGCTCCTGCGCCGCCTGCCCGCTGATGGCACAGACCTCTGCGCAGTTC